CAGGAGGCGGAGGCAGACAGATCTCTGTGAGTTCGAGGCCAACCTGGTCTACAAGAGTTAGTTCCAGGACAGGCACCAAAGCTACAGAAAAACCCTGTCTCAAAGAAAAAAAAAAGAAAGAAGGAAAGAAAGAAAGAAAGAAAATTAGCTGATAAAGGTTTATGCATATGATCCCTAGAGTTTGCAAAGCTTCTGGGACTATACTCAGACAAGTATGTTAAAGATGTTCTGTGTTCCACCACAGAAAGATGCTTCCAAGTTTTTCATATTTTTGCTGTAGAAAACCTTATCTTTCTCATGCTGATAGAACTCCCTGAGAATGTACCTAAGAAGAATGTTTCAAAGGAATCCTTCAGGGAAGCTAAACTGCTAAGAATATATCCCATCTGGGAGGCCGTTTAGTTCCCCCAAAAGTTATAAATGACTACATGCTCGCCACTTACAAAAACTATCACTATATTTTATATGCTCTAAAATTTCATCCATTTTAAGACAAACCAAACCATCATTATACCAAGCACTGCAATTGATTGGTTCTGTCAGTTAAGCTGTGGCCTACATTTGAGTGAGAGCTGCAAAAATGAAGAAGGAAAAAACAAAACCAAGTCTGTCATCTTGGAATTGATGCAATATGGTAGTGTTTTCCAGATCATTCAACTGCCTATGAGAACAACATGCTATCTACTTATTGATAGAGCACTTCATGGAGCACCATTTTGTAGAGGGGTCATGAGGAATGATTAGTAAAGTTTAACTGGAGAAGGGTGAATTCATTTAGTTTCTATCATTATTTAAATTATTTACTGCAGAGCCTCTCTTTCTATCCTGTCTTCCCTGTGACAATAAAAATAAGAATTTCAGAAAAAAAATCATTTTAAATATTGATTTTTTTCTAGACAGGCTTTCTCTGTGTAACATTCTGGGTAACCTGGAACTCTTTTTGTAGACCAGGCTGGCCTTGAACTCACAGAGTTCTAGCTACCTCTGCCTCCTAAGTACTGCGATTAAAGGCATGATCACCACTGCCCAGCTAAATATTGATTTTTTTTTACAAAAGGATAAAGTATAAATTTCTATGTGAGGAGCTCTCAAATAGGTGTTTGAGTTGCTTTTGGTATCACAAGTTTAGAAATTACTTCTCAAAATGTCTTTCTTTTATTTACTTATATTTGAAAATATGTCAGGAAGTTTTTTTTTCATTCATGTTTTCCCCAGTTATTGTATAAGCAATACACATTTTACCATGCCTATAACCCCAGTTATTTTTAAACTGTAGGCATTTTACCATGTCTATAAAAAAAGAATTTAAAAAGGTAGTTTCCTGCACCCTTCTTCCTCTCACTCCCTCCAAGATCTCCCTTCCAAAATCAATGTCTGTGTTGTAGTGACATTTGTGACTTTCCTGTCTATCCAGGGTTGATCTGTATTTAATTCAGCATGCTGGGTCATGGGATAATTATGGCTGAGCCTGTGATGTGTGGTTTCTATTACAAGGAAGGTCAACATTCTTCTAGGCAATGTGGTGCCTTGATAGTAGACCATCTTTTAGTAGTGGAAATTAATGAATTTCCATTGTTCTTGACATATTTCTATATATAAAAGAGAAATTGATTTTAGACATGCCATTCAATTTAAATAACTAAATTAAATAATTTTATCAATGAAATTAATAATAGTAATGCACCAGAAATAGCTTCAGTTTAAAAGGTAGTATGCTGGCTTAATTTTTCAATGTATCCAAAATGAATCCTCTTTTCTTTTTGTGTTTAAATATTTTTATTAATTTTTTGAAGAGTTCATTCAATGTATCTTGACCATATTCACATTCAAACTCTTACAAGATTTATCTTCGCATTCCTATGCATCCAACACTGTTTTCCTTTTAAAAATGCAATCTACCATATAAAAACACTAAAAAAAAACAAAACAAACTACATGATCATCTCAGATGCTGAAAAGGCCTTGACTAAATCTAATACACTTTCATAACAGTTTTTAAAACACACTAGGTTCAATTTTTGTTTGAACACACTCGGTCTAAAGCTTTGGGGAGTGGGATCTGTCCTAGAGCAAGACAGACCTCCCAGGGCCATATCTTAACATAAACTGACTTTGTTCTCTCCTAGAAGGTATCCAATCCCAATACCTCATCAGCTAAGTGCATCAATTTGAGCCCTTGTTCCCACCTCCATTCTGGCCTCAGATTTTGTGCATTCTGTAAAAGTTACTGTGTGTTCATCTGTACAACTAACCAGCTGTGTCTAGAAAATACTGTTTTCTTGTAGTCATTTCAGCAACCACTTTCTGATTGGACTCCAGTTTCCATTTTTGAGGTGGAACTCATGAAAAACCCATTATTTTTTCTGCATAAGACATATTTGTGTTTAATAACTAAAAATATGCTGAAACTTCCTTAGATCCAGCTTTACAAAGAGTTTTTTCTACTCTTTACAGTAGAGTAGAACTGAGGAGCTGTGGGAAGGCATCAGAAAGCCTCTCATTCTATGTAGGGCATTGTCTCTGAAGGAACCACAGGTGAACTTCTCAGGAGTCAATGACCCAGACACTCACTTTGACTCCACTTTGACAATATTACTACCATTTATTAAAAATTTCAGGATCATTATGTCTTACACATAGTTTTAAGGCTGTGAACACTGATGTTTCAAGAAGTCAAGGAATTTGGCCCACTAGATAATACCAACTATTCGATCTCACCAAACTGTAGGCAGTCTTAAAGAGGACACTTTTCTCTTGCATTCATCTGTACAGTTAATTGAGCACCAACTGAGTGCATAATGATCTTCTGCCAGTTAATAAGTAGCTAACCTGTATGCAAAACACTGTAACTGAGCTAGTCATTATTAATTATTTCTTTCTCGGTGAAGGAAAACAAAATATACATCTTTAATTGTCTTAGCAATTTAATGGGTATTTTTTCTGATGATATTCAATACTGCTTATGAGAAAATGTATTGTTCTATTCACTATAGCTGAAATTATACTAGATATCAGATTGTTTTATTAAATCATTAAAAATTACATTTATTTATTTATGTGTGTGCTAAGTGTGCAGATGTGTGCACCTGTCATGATGTGTGTGGATGTCGGAGAACAAATTTTAGAATTCTTTCTTTTCACTATGTGGGTTCCAAAGATTGAACTCAGGTTGTCAGACTTCACCAGAAATACTCTTATTGGCTGAACTATCTTCTCAGTCCTTTAAAGTGACAATAGAAATATAGCATGACTTAGATGATGGAATAATATCAAAATCCATTAGCTGATGTGGCTATAGTGAAGAGATGATAATAATGGCAAAACCCAGTTTAACAACCAGGTAATATTATAAGATCTTGTTGAACTGCTTCTTTTCAGGAAGAAATGGCAGTTGAGACATTATTTCTATTGTGTTTGTGCAAGTTTATAAATTTAAAAATCATGTATTATTAAAAAGGTAAAAGTAAATGTTTTTTTTAATGGTTGTAAACTTATGTTTAGGGCATCCATTGCTTAATGAGATTTTTGGTTGCTTAATCTTTTAGAAGTCTTTTAAAGCGTATGATAATACATAAGAATTTAAGTATTAATATCACATGGCCTGGTTTGAAAACAAAGCAAACAAATAAAAATCACTGTCATCATTCTATTTTGAAATAAATTAATACTTAATACAATGCCAAATTTTTGCATTTTAGAGGGTTTTAGATATTTTTGTACTTTTGCTTAGTTTTCACACAGAACTTTATCTTATTTTTAGACTGAAAACAGGAATTAGATAGAGAATACTGAAATGATCTTTCATGCTTGTTGGAAAGTCTTGTGTTTTAGAGGAAGTGTATTAAAGTGAAAAATATTGTCTGGGAGACTAGGAAGCCCCGATAATGATTCTAGAACTTGGTGTTCTTGAGATGTTACCAGGTCACGGTATACTGCTCTCAGAGAAGTGTTAGATTAGCTTATTCTGAAGAATGGACTAGACAGGAAATAATTTAATTTTACTAGCATTAAGCTTCATAGAGAAGCATACCTGCAAAATTGACATGTAATTTCATCCAAATGCTCTGTTTACATATGATTTGGTGGATTCCAATGTCGAGTCTCACTGAGCCCAGTGAACATCTGTGCCTCATAGAGAGGAATCACATCCCAACTTCAGAAAGTATAGGATACTTATACAGGTATCCATCATCTCAAAACTTCAGTGATAACTGTCTGCCTTTCCCCAAGTTTGGCAGACTTTGATAAGCATATAGCAGCCCAGCTGATGCTATTACGTTTTATTTAAAAGAAAATTGTCTCAGGATTGTTAGACATTCTTGAAAGAACGTGAATGATAAGTTGTCACCACATGTGGATTAAATAACTTGCTTTCTTCACAGATACTGTAAGGTTTGTAAGTATTCAGAATCTCGCTGTATGCTCTTTCACCATCATAAGACAAAGGGTTTCATGAGCATGTGTATGTGTATGACAACTAAGTAGATAGAACTGTGAAAGTTCTGCTACATAGTAGATAGGGACCTTTAGAGACTGAACACCCTCCGCAGCAGTACAGTCTGCAAGCAGTGATGTTGGACAGTGAGTTTGGAACCCAAACAGGATCCTGTGTTTCATAACTAATAATTGTAGTCTACTGAAACAATTCTTGATGTTTTCTTCATGAAAATATAATTAAAATTCTTCTATGATAATTTGCACACTTAAAACAAGTATAAGTAACAAATTTCAACTCTTGCCTCATTTTCTAAGCAATCCGCAACAGGTCGCACACAGATCTATGAGAGCACGGTTTCTAAGTCCTGGACAAAAATAACTTCTGTGCTACACTGAGTAAGCTATTGCAGACCTTAGAGGTTGACTTTTATCGGTTTGATAACAAGCTAGAGCATGGGTGGACACCATGCACTATGCAAATAGACACATATAAATATAATATATATCAGCCCAGGGACGGACATTCATTCACAAGCATTAGGTTACATAGGATGGAGCCTTACCCGGGCCTTCTGCTCCATTTCTAGCATTAATCTTTCATGTTGCTCAGCTATGGCCAGTGTTGCAGAGTGGACCTTCTGATAGATCATTTCTCCTTCCCTTGTTTGAAAAGTGAATAGTCCTTCTCCCGTGTCACACATTCTGTAAAGAAAGAGAGAAAGAGATGGATCTTTGTGTATTCAAGTGTTGCCAACAATTTCCATGTCAAAGATGCCCTTAACTGTCAGGTTTTCTCCTCCACGCTAGTTCATTCTTGGAAAAACCATCCAGTATATGCATCTCTAAATGTACATTGTGGGGAACTAAAGGTGAAAATTCATGTGTACTCGGGTTTTTAAATGCTTTCCAAACTGTAAAGGAACAAACAAAAATGATTTAGATATGCTCAGTGTGGGAGTCTGATTGCTGACATTGGGGTTTCCCTACTCTCAGAAATAGTTACCATATACTCTATCTTTTTTGTGCAAAGAACAGGAGTTTTAAAGTCTATCAAACATAGCCTATTTGAATTTAAAAATATTTGGCTTTAAGATAGATTCTGCCAAAAAAAAAACCAGGGGTGTAAATTTAATCAAGATGCTTAACCTGCCAATTTCTGCTATGTTTACAAAATACAAATAATGGAGCCAATTCATACAATCTTAAAGGTTAAAGAGTTGGTAAATAGTTTACAGTGTTGTTTAGCATACTCAGAGTGTTAAAAATTGTTAGCTACTTTCACCATAAAGTTTAGAATGAATATTAATGAAAGTTTAGAGGTCATTGAATAAATATCTCCTCTAGAGAAAAGCTGGGTTGATTTATTTTTGCTCAATAAAAAACAGTTATGTTTTTGTTATAAGTTAGGAAGAAGTATAATACAGTTGGCACTATGGGTGACAACATATTATAATATTGAAATCCTTACCGGATATTCTAGCAGAAATATCAAAAGTTAAGTTTATTTTCACTTATTTAATGATAATCACATAATAAGACAGTCTTAATTGAAAATTATTAAAAATATATTTACCGATCAGTTTGAAAGGCTAACTGTGGTATAAAATCTTTTTTATAATTATTGTTTTAGCCCTGTTTTAAAACTATAATTGAAAATTATCTATATCCATGTGATATTAATTACTCTAATATGAAGAATTAGCTGAATTTCTATGCTTCTGGTTTTAAGTTAATATCATTGAAAGAGTTACAGGTTACAATGTCAGAATATTCATGTGACAAAAACTATTGGAGAATTTGGATTTTCCCCATGACTCTCCAAGAGGACTTTAGTGGCAAAGAAATGTCTCAAGAGACTTTCGACATTGTCAGAGCTGTGACTGCCATCCATCTGGGCCCATCCAACCAGCACTTAGATTCTCTGAAAGCAATCTTAATAAAATTCACACAGCATGAAATGGAAAGTCTTGGGAAAAAAATCAAGAGTTTTCAAAAAGTGAAACAAATGAGCTATCTTTGTTGATGCAGGGGTGTTTGGAAATGCAAAAGCCACAGAAAATCCATTGATAAGTCCTGAACACATCTTATTTGAGGTGGAGAATTTGTTCACTGTCAAGTACAGAATGCTGCTTATTAGCCTCGGGAAATGAGATAATGAAGGCACAAATTGTTATTTCATACCCAGTCATTCAGATGGGAAGTCCTGATACCTGTCCACTTCCTGAGACTTAATTTTTCCCAGTGGGGGACTTGAGTGCTTACAGGAGGGTTTCCCTAATTTTGGAAATAACTACCAAACTACCATTAATTTCCTTTGAGAAACGAACAAGCATTTGAATGCATTATAGAAAGAGAAGAAACATCAAGTGCAAGGAACTTCTTCTTCTTCACTGTGATTCTATAAACCAAGGGGAAGGTTCAGATTCTTCACTTGTGATTGAGAATTAAAAGGAGAGAAAACAATTACTTCTGAGATTTTCCAAGTAACAGAGAGAAGAAAACCATTGGTTAAGAAGCTCTGTAAGCTAGCAGACAGCCATCGGAGGGGTGAGTTTGCTTCTGGCCCGCGGCAGGAGCCCAGTGAGGAAGAGTTCAGGCTTTCCCCAACCCCCTAGACTCTCAGGGCAACCTGCAGTGGTGGCTCCACCGTGCTAAGCTCTCCTGCCTGCCATCCCAGCTTCCATCTAGGAACACCTTCCTATATTTCTCCCTTCCCCCTGGGGCCATAAAATTTCCCTAGCTCAGCTGCCTTGCGCGCTGGGCCTGGGCTGTAGGTGCAACCTGGAAGGAGGGAGTGCCTGTGTTTCAATAGCCTGCCTGAGGAAAGGTAGGCCTTCTGTCAGTGAAGTCCTTGCCCAACAAGGGAACCTGACCTGGTACCAGAAGATCCAATAGAGAGCATTTGAAGGAAGAGATGGGCAGACACCAAGGCAAGACCTCATCCAACAATCTGAAAAACAACATGAAAACACCAGATCCCAACGATCCTACAATAGAAGAACTTGAACACCTTAATCCAGAAGAAGTGGAAAAAAGTGTCATTATGAAAGCATTAGAGTCCCTTAAACAGGATATGAATAACTCCCTTAAAGAATTGGATGAGAAGTATAACAAAAAGTTTGAAGAATTGAGTAAAGAAATGGATGAGAAGTATAACAAAAAGTTTGAAGAAATGAGTAAATCCGTGAATGATACCCTGGGAAACCAAGAAAAGACAATCAAACAGGTAAAGGAAACAGTTCAAGAATTGAAAACTGAAATGGAGGCAATGAAGAAAACACAAACCGAGAACTGGCTGGATATGAAAAACCTAGGTAAATGAACGGAGACTACAGAATCAAGCATAACCAATAGAATACAAGAGATAGAAGAACGAATCTCAGATTCTGAAGATATCATAGAGAAAATAAACGCTCTGATCAAAGAAAATGGCAAATCCAACAAATTCTCTTCACAAAACATTCAAGAAATCTGGGACACAATAAAAAAAACCAAATCTAAGAATAATAGGAATTGAAGAAGGAGAAGAATTGCAGATCAAAGGCCCAGAAAATATATTCAACAAAATTATAGAAGAAAACTTTCCCAACCTAAAGAATGATATTCCTATGAAGGTTCAAGAAGCATACAAAACACCAAATAGACTGGATCAAAAAAAAAAATCCCCTCGCCATATAATAATCAAAACACAAAACATACAGATTAAAGAAAGAATATTAAGAGCTGCAAAGGAAAAAGGGCAAGTAACTTATAAAGGTAAACCTATCAGGCTTACACCGGACTTCTCTATGGAAATCATGAAAGCCAGAAGGTCCTGGATAGAGGTACTGCAGAAACTAAGAGACCATGGATGCAAACCCAGACTACTATACCCAGCCAAGCTATTGTTCACGATCAACGGAGAAAACCAAATATTCCAGGATAAAAATAAATTTAAACAATTTGTAGCCACAAATCCAGCCTTACAGAAAGTAATAGAAGGAAAATCGCAACCCAAGGAATCCAACACTGCCAACACTGCCTACAATAACCCAGACATCTAGTGACCCTTCACAACCACAACTCAAAGAAGAGAAACACACAAACTCTACTACTACTACACACACACACACACACACACACACACAAATAATCGGAATCAACAACCACTGGTCATTAATATCACTTAATATTAATGGACTCAACTCACCTATAAAAAGGCACAGACTAAGAGATTGGATACGAAAACAGGATCCAACATTCTGCTGTTTACAAGAAACACACCTCAACCATAAAGATAGACATCTAATCAGAGTAAAGGTTTGGGAAAAGGTTTTCCAAGCAAACGGACCTAAGAAATAAGCTGGTGTGGCCATTCTAATATCTAACAAAATTGACTTCAAACTAAAATCAATCAGAAGAGATGGAGATGGATATTTCATACTCATAACAGGAACAATTAATCAGGAGGAAGTCTCAATCCTGAATATCTATGCCCCTAATATAAAAGCACCCACTTATTTAAAAGAAAAACTCTTAGAACTCAAGGCAGTCATCAAACCACACACACTAATAGTAGGAGACTTCAACACACCTCTCTCACCAATGGACAGGTCAATCAGACAGAAACTCAACAGAGAAATAAGAGAATTACTAGAGGTAATTAATCAAATGGACTTAACAGATATCTATGGAACATTCCACCCAAAAGGAAAGAATATACCTTCTCTGCAGCTCATGGAACCTTCTCGAAAATTGACCACATACTCGGTAACAAAACAAACTTCCACAGATACAAAAAAATATTAGTAACCACCTGTGTCTTGTCGGATCACCATGGAATAAAGTTAGAATTCAATAACAATTCGAACAGCCTACAAACGCATGGAAGTTGAACAGTCAGCTACTGAATATTCCCTGGGTCAAGGAAGAAATAAAGAAAGAAATTAAAGTCTTCCTTGAATTTAATGAAAATAAAGACACAACATACTCAAACCTATGGGACACAATGAAAGCAATGCTAAGAGGAAAGTTCATAGCACTAAGTGCCCAATTAAAGAAAACAGAGAAAGCACACATTGGAGACTTAACAGCACACCTGAAAGCTCTGGAAAAAAAGACGCAGACTCACCCAGGAGGAGTAGAAGACTGGAAATAATCAAACTGAGGGCTGAAATCAACAAAATAGAAACACAGAAAACAATCCAAAGAATCAACGAAACAAAAAGTTGGTTCTTGGAGAAAATCAACAAGATTGAGAAACCCCTAGCCAAACTAATCAAACGGCAGAGAGAGAACATGCAAATTAATAAGATCAGAAATGAAAAGGGGGACATAACAACAGACACAGAGGAAATTCAGAGAATCATTAGGTCTTACTACAAAATTTATATGCCACAAAGTTGGAAAATGTACAAGAAATGGATTGGTTTTTAGATAAATACCATTTACCAAAGTTAAATCAAGACCAGGTGAACAATCTAAATAGACCTGTTAGTCGTGAAGAATTAGAAGCTGTTATCAAAAACCTCCCGACCAAAAACAGCCCAGAGCCAGATGGTTTCAATGCAGAATTCTACCAGAACTTCCAAGAAGAGCTGATACCTATACTCCTTAAGGTATTTCACAATATAGAAACAGAAGAGTCATTGCCAAACTCTTTTTATGAAGCTACAGTTACCCTGATACTAAAACCACATAAAGACACAACCAAGAAAGAGAAT